ATGGGAGGTTAAAAAATTTCTTTTTAGGGAGGCTCTGTGTACCCTTTATCCAGTTTCTCCCAAAGGTAACATCTTATATAACTATAGTACCCTATCAAAACAAGGAACTTGACATTGGTAACCTCTGTGACATTAACAGAGCTTACTCAAATTTCACCTGTTTTATATGTGTGTGTGTGTGTATAGTTTTATGCAGTTTTATTACATATGTATGTTTGTGTAACCCCCACCATGAAAAATTCATTTTAATTATAATTTCTTATACATCTAATTCATGATAGCTAGTATTTTGGTGTATAGTATACAGTTTCTGAAAGAAAATTGAAGCTCAGAAGAGAATATATATCAAAAGACCTAGTATAATAGAATTTATCCTTAAAACTTAATATAAATTTGTTTCAAAAGTTTCTTCTGTGTGTATTGGAGAAAACTGTATTTGTATATAAGTAGAAATAAATGATTATTTAAAGTTTTATGTGTTTATACTCCCCATAAATTTCCATGCTGTCTTTTTGAATATATAAAAATGAGTGGCTCAATATTTGTTATACTAAGGCTTTGTGTTCTTTACCATGTATTGTTCTTACTGGTATAGGCTCTCATACTGAATTGCCAGATGTGCTGTGTGCTGTGGTGCCTGTTGCATATATCATTTGTATGCCAATAAGCAAGTTGTTTAAAGTTGAGTTTTGAGATCCAAAACAGCTCACCTCATTTCCCTTCCTGACCTTTCCCAGCAACTTACTATTTCTATGGGTGGAGTGATGGGTGGCAGCAGTGGTGGTAGCACAAGGCCATTATAGCGTTGTGTGTGCTGTGCGGTGAGAACACTTTGCAACATTCCCTTATGATTTGTCTTTCATCCTTTGTTTTATTTTTATACCTCTGCTCATTACACTGAATGAGACAGCTCCTAGCCGGGATGATAGCAGAGCCTGCTTTTCTCTCTGAGTATACTATCTTTGCTTTGGATTCCTCCAAGCAGCCTAAAACCCAGACTGACGGTGTGGTGAGTCCTTCCACCGCTTTCTGCATTCCCTTTGTGGGGAAGCAAAGTAATTTGGTAATTCTAGAAGCACATCTCACGTTGCTTGTCACTTACCATCTCTCAAAGCATCTTCAGTGCCCTGTTGCTAACCTCCCTCTAAAAAAATCAGAGAGTAAATTGCTAAATTCTGATGGCTGGTGTGTTTTTTGCTAGCTTTTTAACAGCAACAAAATAACACTGTTTTCCTTAATGTAGTGAAGAATACTTTCACTTGGTCTAAACGCTTAAGTTTTCTCCCTAGGGAATGTTTGCTCATTAACTAAAAGAGGTATGCATTGCTAGGAATCTCTGTTGGTAGGAGGCCAAGAATATTTTGAGACTTGACTCACATTTTTAGGAAAGAAAAATGCATTTTATGTAAATCCATAATTAAACAACATTGAGTAGGCAGGTGGAGTCTACTGTAACAAGTAATTGCATCTTATTTTGGGAGAGTACCAGTTTTCTGTGTATTAAACATTTGAAAGGAAATAGTTACCTGTTTGTTTTTCAACTGAGTGAATTCATACAATTTTGAATCTTGTATATATTGATAATTTCACTTGGGGAAAGTAGACTTACTTCATAAAGTATCTGAGTTCTTAATTTAGCAAATTAAAACTTAGAGATGTTTGATTGCCTAGTAAGGATGCTTTTGTTGTTAGAATGGACACCGACTGAAATGGGATTGGGGTTTTTTTAAACAGTGAGAATTGGTTTAATTTATTAAGTGGCTAGTAATGAAGTTAGAACACTTCTGTATTTATCCATGCAGCCAGTAAAGACTTGGTCTGCATATGGCCAGTATCAGTCTTATATTACATTCTAAACTTGGTTTTAGAAAAGGAAGCAGCTCAGAGTTCTCATAATGCCTTAGCTTGGCTCTCAGGTATAGTGGTCTCTAACACCTCACTGTTTTCAATACTGGTTTGAGAGGGAGACAGGAGTCCCAGTTAGAGATAACTTACCAACTTATTTTAAAAACATAAAAGGATATTACACTTCATGTAGTAGTAATAGAGCCTTAAAAAACCACAACAAAAAAGAGCTTCTCTCAGGCCCACTTCCGTTAGAACATAAAATGATTTGTATTGAGTGCCTATCCTACTGTGACAAATGCTAATAATTTTAGAATGGAGGCTTTAGAACTATTTAAAATAATTTAAGTAGGCTGAAAGTCTACATTAATCTTATTTAAATTTTGTTTTGTTCAGATAAAAACTTATTTCTCCTCACATAAAACCATAGCGTAACCTATAGTAGAATAAAAATTTAGTGAGCGTCTAATTCATTATTTTATTTCACCAATTGCTGACTTTTCCTTAATTCAGTTTTTGGAAAAATGCCCCTCTTTACCCCAAATTCTAAAAGTTGCTGTATCCTTAGTGCTCGGTAGTCAAAAGTAGTTGTTGAAAGGCTGAACAAAACGTAATTGAAGGGAATTCCCTGGCGGTCCAGTGGTTAGGACTCAGCGCTTTCACTGCTGTGGGCACGGGGTTCGGTCCCTGGTCGGGGAACTAAGATCACGTGAGCCACGCAGTGTGGCCGAAAATTAAAAACAAACAAACAAAAAACAAAAAAAAACCCACACATACACAAAACACCATAATTGAAGACAAATCTGGCAGGGAACCTGTGTGTGCTTTTAAGTTAAATGCACTTTAGAAACGTTTTCCTGTTATCTAAGAATTGCCTCCAGGAGAAAGTGTTGGTGACTGAGTAGTGACATGTGTTGAGCTAGTTCTTTAGGCTTCTTTCTTGGGGGAGGCCTTCAGAAGTCTCCTTACACTGAAGGAAGTAACTGTATAAAGATTTAACAAGCAATTACTGAGCCTCTACTACAGTCAGGCAAAATGTAGGCTTCCTGCCCTCCGAGCGTTTATAGTTTAGTATGGAGACAAAGATGTCAGAATACACTTAACAATGCAAAGGAATTAAGTCTTCATAGAAGAAAATACAGGCATAGGAAATGTGTTAGAACCTCAGGCCAGCCATATGAAGCTTCACAAAATAAGGGGCATTTGAAAGTTGAAAGACAAATAAGAATTTGCTGGGCAGAAATGGAGAAGGCATTACAGGTAGTGATAAAATCTATAATTTTGTTTCTAGATATTCTTAACTTAGATTTACATGGTAACAGAGGCCAATACTTTCCTTAGCTGCCTTGCATTTATTTAGGTATATAGTATAACAAGTAAATTGAAACATAGATGCAGAGATGGAAAGTTTTAAGATGTTATGCTGTTCGTTTGGTAGGGTGATATTTCAGACAATTGTAGAATAGCTTTTTTTGTATGGACCACAATCATGTGTGAAGTAATTTACTTAAAATAGAATATGGACTTTCTTGCCACTCTTCTTCCTAACCTAAATATTTTATGGAGCCCTTTCATTTGCTTTCTCCATAATTTAACAGTAACTTACTTTTCAGTATACTGCGTGGCAGAGAGACTTGCTGATTTCTCTGAAGTATTTTTTTTATTTTATAGTGTGTAGTGTAGGATATTTTTAGGGCTGGAAAGCATTAATTATGATGCTACACAAATAATATGCCATGTATACGACTTCTAATTCTTTGAAATGGCAGAGAGCAGGAAGATAAAAGTTAATTCCTATGTTTCCCCAACCATTCTCCCCTATTTAACTTTAAGGAAGTGTCTTGGACTGATAAAATTTGATAACTTTTTATGTCAGAGGGAGAAGGTATTTAAACTTTTATGAGGAAAAAATTCAAATGTATTGCAAGAGTGAAAATAGTAATGAGTCACATAAGATTTCTTCCCCCTTCCCCAGTATCCATTATCCAGTGTCAACAATTAATAAGTCATGTCCATCTTACTACCATCCCCCCATACCTCCCTAACCACACCACTCCCACCCTCCCCACACATACAGATACCCTCTGCCCATTCCTGTGGGATTATTTGAAGCAAATTTCAGATATCTTATCTAAGTATTTTGGTATATATTTCTAAAAGATAAAGACTAAAAATATATAACCACAATACATTTATCACACCTAAAATTATTTCTTAGTATCAAATAACTAATGAGAGTTCAAAAATTTCAGAACACTTTTGCAAAGCTGAGTGCCTTCTCCACTTGTATTTAAGAATAAGAAGAGTCATATATTTGACCCTTTCTTGGTTAGCCCTAGAGTTGCAGGGGAAATGTACTTTCAAGTTACTGAAACATAGTGGCTGGTATTTCGTTGAATGCTTTTGTTTAAAACATGGCAGTTATTTTATCATGAGCTGCTTCTATAGCTTTAATTTTAGTTAGACACTTAGTATATTATGAATGCAATGTAGAATTTTGAATCTCGAAGAATATCATCCATTATGGAACTCATGCCGGTATGATAGTCAGTAGAATGTTGTGTAACTTGGAGCGTTTGTCATACCAACAAAAGAAAACAAAAAGCTTTCATATGTAGAAGAAATTATTTTTAATTATAAGTTTTTCTGAAAATTGTCATAACAATTTCATTTAGACTGCTGGCTTCAAATGAATGAGGCATTTCCATTTCTTGTTGCCAAGATATTTTTCAGAGCTTAGCCCAAATAACTTTAAATATTATTTTACTGTAAGGAACAACTGACGTTACTTTTTCTGGATAGTTTTCTACTTGAATGAGTTTTGCTAATTGAATCCCTGATGTTAACTTCATATTGAGGGAAAAAGCTGGGGAGATTGTAATGGGGAGAGATATGTGATTAGCTTGAAATAAATTTGGCTGCATACTAATCTTTGCTATTTGGTTACAGATATTATAGCAAAATGAATTTTCTAAAATACTTACCATACTAGTTTTGCCTTGCATGAAAAATTCTAATAAGTGAACAATTACTAATTTTGTTTAACAGATAAATGTATCTAATAGGTTTTGGTACTTGGCCTTTCTTTGTTCTTAACAGTTTTAAAATTTTAGTTTTCTGATCCTTTCTTTACAATGTTTCTTTCTTTTTCTTAGAATGCATCTATCCAAGCCATGAAATCTCCCGACAGTGTTAATGGAAGTGAACCCACAACTCCTCAGGTCCGTTATTAATGTTATTTAAAAGAAATAGCAAGTCATTTCAGGATGTCAGTCAATCAGTATTATTAGCATTTGACTTTACATTGAAACAGTGATGTCTGAACATTGATACAATGTCTATGGTAAATCCAGGTTTGTTGATGGTTTCTTGGAAAAAGTTTGAAATGAAAGCAATACATGTATATATATACCAGTCATGTAAGATTCCATTATTACTCTTTTAAAAAACTAATGGCACTGAAGAGAAAACTTCGGGAAAAAAGACTGATTTTATAGTAAAAGATTATGGAGTAAGTCATTTTGAAAGACATGTTGAGTTACATATTCTAGAAGGGAGATGTGAAGAAAATGGGATTTCTTTTAAAGTTTGTTCTAATGCAGAATATCTTACTACTAGAGAATTTAGTTTATCTTTGATTTTAAAAAGTTATTTGGAGAGTGGGGCTCATGTAACTTTCTTTTGACTCCTTCCAAAAAAGAAAGAAAGAAAGAAATTCATTAAAAAAAATCTTAATGATAGCAGTGTCTGAGATGAACATTTATTTTCTTTGGCTTTAGTGATTATTATTATCATTAACCTGGCTGTTCTCAACAGTCTCTGTGTAGAGCAATAACATTTCTGATTCTGTGAACCTGGAGCAGGAACATGGGCGATTTCTGAACTAAATCATGTAGATTAAACATTCTAAAGTATTGTCTAACTTTCCAAACTCCATGAAAAGGTTACCTGTGAGCTGAGAGTGTCATTCTTTTCAGGGAGGCCGGTCAGGCTCTGGGCATAGTCCACGTCCCTGGGCTTTGAGCAGCATCCCCTAAGTCCTCTACAGATAAATCATTTTCTATGAGTGCCTTGAGGTAGGGGTAAAATATTGGGAGGCACCAATTTAAATGGTACTGGACAGATCCAGTGATCTTGAAGGAATATTAATTAGAATTAATTAGATAACCAGCTTTATGATCAGATTCAGGAGAGATTTAAGTTTAATTAAGGTGAAGAATGAACATGGGTGATATTCAGGAAGTTAATTGTGTTTATTGAGTTTACTGTGTGTCAGGCATTGTTAAGCATTTTATGTATATGATCTCATTTAATTCTCATAACAAGGAGACACCTTCACTCAGAGACTGTTTTTTACTTTTATACAAATTTCTGACAAGTTGGTTGTTGGTTGTTGTTAGCAAATTAGGAACACGGGATATCCCCAAAGTGGGTAGAATGCTTACTGTGGATGGGCAGCAGGAAATCAGAGTTGACACCAAGGTAGAAGAGATGGTGAAAAGCAAGCCCAAGAGTTTATAAAGTGTAGCTGCCTGTGACCCCCTTACTACTGGGTAGAACATCCTCTGTAAACCAATAGAGTTTGGCACACAATGTAATGATTGTGGTGGGGATGTCATTAAAAAGGGTTACTCACTGTCCTTATTTAAGAAGGCAGAAAAGTGCAGTATACCTATCTCAGAAAAATTTCTGTTAAATAGTTAACTCTTAAATTGTTTAATGCAGTACATAAAATTCAGCTAATCAAAATGATTATTCATTCATTTCCAAAGGAATGCAGGTAGTTGACATTTTACCTCAAACAGACTTACAAAACTCAGATATTTGAAAATAATTAGTGTATACCACCATGTAATAGAGAAAAATATATTTTGCAAAACAGGTATGTATGAGCATTCATCCTTATCTGAGAAGCTGTGAAATAGTTTTATTGGATCATAGTTTTAGTGTTTTAGCAGTTTAGGATGAATCTAGGATCTAGTATTACCCTCTTATTGTATAGATGCGCTATCAGGCATGAAACTTTAAATTATTTGCCCAAAGACCAGTGGCTAGTTATTGATAGTGGGATTATCATAGATAGACAAAAACATTAGTCTACCCCACTATAATTTTTTGCCATGTATTGCCTCATTTAAGTGTATATGCTGTTAAAACAAAATGAGAATAAACTAGTGGTTGCCGGAGCTGAGGAGGGTGGGGAGGATGGCGATATAGGTGAAGGGGATTGAGAGGTACAAACTTCCAGCTATAAAATAAATAAGTTACAGGGTTGTAATGTACAGCACAGGGAACATAGTCAGTAATATTGTAATAACTTTGGTGTGTAATCTATAAAAATATTGAATTACTATGTTTTATGCCTGAAATGAACATAACATTGTAAGTCAACTATACTTCAGTAAAAACAATAAAAAGTAACAACAGAATTTTGTTAAATTGAATAGAGCAAATCATAGGGATTTAAATGACCATTCTCATATGCTATTATTTTTTTTTAACTATAGGAAAAAGTCTGGTTTTGAAAATCATTTATGATTTTTTTTAAAAGCAAGTCAACCTCTGTCAATTTTTTAAATGTATTTATTTATTTTAATTTTTGGCTGCTTCGGGTCTTAGTTGTGGCACGCAGACTTCTCTCTAGTTGTGGCGTGTGGGTTTTTTCTCTCTCTAGTTGTGGCACGTGGGCTCTGTAGTTTGCGGCACATGGGCTGTCTCCTTGAGGCACACGAGCTCAGTAGTTGTGGCACGCGAGCTTAGTTGCCCCGCGGCATGTAGGATCTTACTTCCCCGACCAGGGATCAAACCTGCATCTCCTGCATTGGGAGGCGGATTCTTTACCACTGGACCACCAGGGAACTCCCTATGAATTTTTTAAAAAAGAGAAATTATAGTAGTGTAATTAAATTTTGAAATTTCTGTTGCCATTTTTTGAATACTGCTTTTAATTTTGTTTTCAACAGTTATGAAAAATTTCAATCATACAGAAAAGTTGAAAGAACTTTATAAAGTGAACATGTGTATACCTACCACCTAGATTCTATCATTGATATTTTACTTTTCTTTTCTTTTTTTTTTGGCTGCACTGCACGGCACATGGAACTTCCCTGACCAGGGATTGAACCCATGCCCCCTGCAGTGGAAGCTCAGAGTCTTAACCACTAGGGACCACCAGGGAAGTCCTGTACTTTTTTTTTTTTCAATCACAAATCTGGCCATATGTTCATTCCTCTGTTCGTCCCTCAATCCATTTTATTTTTCTGATGCCTTTCAGAGTAAGTCGCAGGCCACAGTACTAATGTTTTAGTATGTATATCATTATCTAGAGTTCAGTGTTTGTAATTTTTATTTTGAAGTGAATTTTATATAAAATGAAATATGCAAACCTCAAATGTACATTGATTGATTTGTACATCGACACATACATTTGACAAATGTATGTGCCAAACCCATGCACAGGTTATAGAAGATTATCAACACACCAGAAAGTTCCCTTATGGTCTTCCCTCTCAGAGGCAACGTGTTGTAATTTTTTTCCACCATACAACACATTAGTTTTGCTTATTTTAGAACTTTATATAAGTGACCTTATAAGTATGTGCTCTTTTATGGAAGACTTCTTTCACTCAGCATTATGTTTGTGAAATTTCATCCATGTTGTGGTTATCAGTAGTTTGTTCCTTTCTATTGCTGTGTAGGATTCGTTTGAATAAATATTCTGCAGTTATTTACCTATTGATGGACACCTGGGCTGTTTCCAGTTTTCTGCTATTACGAATAAAACTATCATGAATGTTATTGTAGAAATCCTGTGGATGTATGTTTTCATTTTTTTCTTCTTGAGTGTTATTGATTATGTATTAATGCTTTTTGATGATTCTAGAATAAGATATACTATATGTAAAAAGTGGTACATATCATTTTGATCAAGCACTGAGTATTTAAAGATCTCCCATTAGATCATCATTAGCATATTGCCAGGTTAAGGTTCAGCTGAACAAATGTGTAATAACTACCTACTTCGTGGAAAGCACTGAGGCAAGACTACAGAGATAGAGAATATGAATTCTGTTCTAAAAGAGCATAAAGTCTGGGATGAGGGTGTGTTGGCAGATATAATGATAAGAAAATGTATTTAGTGCTTCCTGCATATGAGGCACTATTTTAAATGCTTTTACTCATTTAATCCTCATAGCAACCTACTAGAGTACTGTTGATTTATAGATGAGGAAATTGAAACAAAGAGGTCCTAAAGCTAATAAATGGTAAAACTGGGATTCAAATCATGGAGTTTTGGTCAGAGTCTGAGTCTTAACCCCGGTGCTGTATTGTCTCTGTAGTTGTTCTAAGGCATAAACAATTCAGTTAGTTGTTATATCAGCAAGTAAGTAAATAATGGTGAGTCGGAATGCAGTATGTGCTCCAGTAGTGGTCCTGGTAAAGTGCTTAGGCCATTGAGAAGGGTTGTTTCTGATGGGTGAAATCTGAGGTTTCCTGGAAGAGCAGAACTTGAGCTCACTTTTGAAGGATGTCTGAGTTTCCATGCGCAGAGAAAGTTTGGGTGATAGTACAGAGGCACACAAGGATGCATTTATTCAGGGAACAGGAAGTTACCTGTTGGAACTCAAGTTTTTGTTACATGAAGGGGTGGTTTTACAGAGAAATGGGTCTTGGGAAGTGGGAACCTTGAGTATCAGCTAAGGATTTTGAACTTTATATTTAGTGGGAGTTCAGTTTAGGAATTGGAATGAAATAATCTGAATTATGTTTTAGAAAGACAATCCTGGTGACCATGTGGCAGGGGCAGATTGGTAGGTAAGAGATTTGAGGCAAGAGAACAGAAGGCTGCTACAGATATCCAGCTGGTAGAGGATAAAAGTCTGACACTGTTGGGGAAATAAAAAGGAGGAATGCAAACAATGTAAAGTGGGGGAGACAGAAAGGAGCTAAAAGTAACTCTGTGTTCATTTATTTTCATTTATACATTTCTCCTTCTCTAACCCCCATCAGCTTTTTAAAAAATGAGTTATAAATCAGTGAATGTCTTTGGTACCAGAAACCTGACAATAGTTGGAGCCAATGGGAGTTTAGTTTTTCACATAGCAGAAGGGCTAGAGACAGTCAGTCATTAAGGACCCTTCTCCGTTTGGCTTCTTGTCCCCCCCTCCTTTACCTTCTCATCCTTCCCACTGCCTTTCACCCTCACAGTTACAAGTTTGGCCTCCAGGAATTGCATCTCCATTGTTGACAGGACAAAAGGCATATATATTCCTTTTTATCAGGAAAATAATATCTCTCCTAGAAGGTTCCATCCATTTTTTTTTTTGGCCACACCACGCAGCTTGTGGGATCTTAGTTCCCCGACCAGGGATTGAACCCGGGCCCCAGCACTGAAAAGCACGGAGTCCTAACCCCTGGACCACCAGGGAACTCCCGAAGGTTCCATCCTTTAGATTCCCACTTATAGTTTACATTATTGGCTGACCTTAGGCACAGGGCCCCCTCCTGGCTGAAACAGAGTCTGGGAAAAGCTAACTTAAAAAAATCCTTTAATTGAAATGTAATATCACAATGTAATAATGTATACAGAAAAGTATCATGTATTCCTTCTACAATTTACTGAATTTTCACAAACCAAACACAACTTTGTAACCAGCACCCCAAATCAAGAAACAGAAATTACCAGCACCCCAGAAGCCCTTGTGCTCCCTTCTGCTCTCTGCTCTCACCTCTCCCTACCAGGGGTAACCACTATCCTGACTTCTAACTCTATAGATTAATTTTGCCTGTTTCTGACTTTATGTAAATGGAATCACTAGTGGTTATTCTTTTGTGTCTGGCTTCTTTTGCTTAATAACTCTGTTACTGTTAGTGAGATTCATCTATATTCTTGCTTGTGGCTATAAATCTTTAATTCTCATTGCTGTCTAGTATTCTTTTAGTGAGCAGATGACAGTTGACTTACCCCATCTGTTATTGATAGGCATCAGCAGTGGTTTCAGGTTTGGCGCTATTTTAAACAGTGCTGCTATAAACTTTCTAGCGTATATCTTTTGTTGAACATATGTATACATTTCTATTGTGTATATACTTAGTAGTGAAATTGCTGGTCTGGAGAGTACGTGTGTGTTTAGTTTTAGTAAATACTGGTAGTTTTCTGAAATGGAGTGTTCCACATCCTTACCAATACTTGGAATTTTCCATAGTTTTAATTTTAGCTATCCTGGTGGATATGTAGTAGTATCTCATTATGGTTTTTATTTGTATTTGAGAAGGTGAATGTTTTAACCTGGCTGTATTGTCACCCTGCATGAAACTGGCATCTGGTGGAAAGGAAGAAGGGAGGATTGGATATCAGGTGATAGATACTATTGATTGTTGAGCTCAAGCCAGTCATGATGCTAAGTGCTTCACATGTATTAATGTAGTACTCCTCACAAGCGCCCTACGAGGTGAGTGCTGTTGTTTTCCCCAATTAACTTATGAAGAAACAGAGGCACAGAGGGGCTGTGTAACTTGCCCAAGGTCATATTGCCGGAGACTTGAGCCCAAGAAGCCTGGCTGCAGAGCCTGTGCTCTTAGCTACTGCATCTTATAACCGGAAGAATCTGCCACATAAGCTTGCGTATAACATTCTTATTTGTAAGTTTGTCTTTTGTTTGGTTTTAGTCTTCTTTCTTTAATAATAATGATAATTGTTAATGTTTATTGAGTAGTTGCTGCATTGTAAGCAATTTGCATGTACATATTAACTCATTCAGTCCTTGTGGCATCCATATGAGGTGGGTGGTATTATTACCATCATTATTATTTTTATCACCCCCATTTTAGAGAGGGGGAAACAAGACTAATGAGGTTAAGTAACTTGGTCGGTGTCATGAACATCGTGGTGGAGCTGGGATTTAAACTTAGGCAGCCTTACTCAGCAGCCCACAGACTGAATCACAACACTCAAACTCCCAAGCAGGGCTTCCCTGGTGGCGCAGTGGTTGAGAGTCCGCCTGCCGATGCAAGGGACACAGGTTTGTGCCCCGGTCTGGGAAGATCCCACATGCCGCGGAGCGGCTGGGCCCGTGAGCCATGGCTGCTGGGCCTGCGTGTCCAGAGCCTGTGCTCCACAACGGGAGAGGCCACAACAGTGATAGGCCCGCTTACCGCAAAAAAAAAACAAACAAAAAACCTCCCAAGCAGAGTAGATGTGACAGTTACTCAGTTTATGAGCTTCTGCAAATACATGTCTTTGAAATTGTTCATTACCTCCTGGCTCACCCTAAAATAACAACTGTTTCTAGTGTTACTCAAATTTACCTCACTTGTTTGTCCTAAGGCAATTGTCTGTAAGAGCTGAAAAGCACTTTTTGCATGGGTCAGAAGCGGATGGTAATGGAATAGCGGTAAAATGGTTCTTCAAGTTTTTGAGCATGAGGGTCCCTCCTCTCCCTTAAGACTTTCTCTACCCCACCCCAGTATAAAGGTAAAACTTGCACATTATGAAAAAAAAAATTGGGAAGTACAGGAAAATAGAAAAATGAACATAAAAATCATCTAAAATCTTACCACCCAGACCCACTCACTCACTGTTAACTTTTGGTGTTTGTCCTTTAACAACCTGATTCTAAGGGTGTTTATGTAAACATGCATCCAAGTTCATAAGTATGTGTAACTGTGTTAAATCAAAATGAGTTCACAGTGTATGTATTATTTTATAACCTGAGTTTTCCCATTAATAGTATGTCTTGAACCTTGTTACATACATTGTGGTTTATATAATGTATCCTCTAGTGGTGAACATTTGGGTTGTTACCACTTTTTACTGTCATGAACGTCCTGTGATAAATCTGTGCGTATGCAGGGGGTGGGCCCCTCTTACTCCCACCTTGCCAAATACTATTATTAAATCTCTAAAATCTATGAGTAAAGTATTCCTGGTCTGATTTTTTTTCTTGTATATTAAAGAGAATCTTTTTGTTTTCCTGTAATCTTTGCCTATACATGACCTCAGTCTCCCCTGAGCATTTCATTCCTGGCATCTTTGAGATCTTGCAGTGACCCTATTGCACTAATGAGAATGAGTTTCTAGGAAACGCCTGAAATACTGACTGCTGTCATGTGAACAAAAAGTGCAGCTTACAATAATACAGGTTATTGAATTGTATTATTTTCCATTGCTATTGTTCAAAATAATGCATCATTATTAATATTAATATTCTAATTAAGAGAACAGCTCTTGCTTATCACTGTTTCTAACATCAGACTTACTAATCCGTGTAGAGGGACTCTAGCTCAGACTTTTTAATGGTCCTCCGTGATTTTTTTATGCTTATTTTTATTGCCGGTAGACAGTGGTAATTAGAGCAGAGTTAGATATCCCTAGTCAGCTCTGCCTGGTATTCTGTTATTGAGCAACATGGGTTCACTAAACATTACCCTCTACCCGAGAAGAGTAATGAGGAATCTGCGCAGGCCTTCATGCAGACTCCAGATGCAGCCACACACTTCACACTTCACAGTACATACCCACATTTTAGGCACTGGGTATATACTGGTGGTATAGATGACCACTGCCTGCAAGGGTCTTACAGTTTAGTGGACAGATCTCACAGCACACCTGTGAGGTTCGCTGGGAAAGTATGGCTTCCTTCTTTTTACAGATGTGCAAACTGAAGGGAAGTGACTTAGTGAAGGTCATTCCACTGCTCTGTGACAGACCTGGGACCTACACCCCAGTCCTCTGACTCTAGGTCCAGCTCCTTTTCACAAATAAACAGGTGTCTCTTGTTTTTCAGAAAACTGTATTGTGTAAAATGTCAGGAATATAAATTAAATGTGTTAGCTTTCTATAGATTATTGCTGGTGATCAGGGAATTATAGAAGTCTAAATATGTATTTTAACCCACATGTTCTGATGCGTTTTGGTTGCAGTCAGGTGACATGCAGTCTTTTGCACAGAAGCTCCAACTCCGGGTGCCTTCCGTTGAGTCTTTGTTTCGGAGTCCAATGAAGGAATCTCTATTCCGATCTTCCTCTAAAGAGTCTTTGGTACGAACGTCTTCTAGAGAGTCCCTGAATCGACTTGACCTGGACTCTTCTGCTGCCACCTTTGATCCACCCTCTGATATGGAGAGTGAGACCGAAGATTCACTAGGGAATTTAGACAGTCTCAGCAAAGAACATTTGATCCAGTGGTTGCGAAGAATGGAACGAAGGTTGAATGGCTACAAAGGAAAATGTTCTGAGGTAGGAGCATGACTTTTTTGTTGGTATGAAAAGTTCCTCCCCGTATTCTCTAATTCATATTACTCTCTGGCCTTTATGCCTGTCATTGGCTGAACTGTCAATTCCCTGGCTACGCTGGATACTGATGGGGGATAGTTTGTGGAAATATCTAATTAAAGACCTTCAGTGGTACTGAGGCCCTTTGACAATACTGTTAGTAAAATTTTGGAGCAGATTGTTGCCCGTAGCCTTTTGATTCTCACATTCTGTGCCCCTCTCTCCAGGGTTGCTTGGACACCCAGCTCAGAGTTCATTGTCTTGCCTCCTCACATCCCTTCCCTTGTTCATCTTTTAAGTGTTGTGGCTCCAGATTCCATTATTTCTGCCAACCAGATTCCATTATTTCTGACCCCAGATATGTGCACATTTGGTGCATTCTCATTGGACCTACATTTACAGTTTGCCTCAAGTGAATCTTTTAACTGCTGGACCCCTTGACAATGTTTGGTCTAAGAGGAAGGAAGTGGTGCTGCTCCTTCGCTTTGTTCCTTTAGAAACATGGCGCCTTCCCTTTGGGCTGATTGTATTAGTTGCCCTCGCTGTCCTGTGCAGTTAAAATGTTCTTTCTCCGGAAAGCCTTTCTGGACAAAGTTGCCCGTGGCTTCCTTTTTTAAAAAAACAAAAACCAAAAAAACCCCATGGGCTTCTCTGGTGGCGCAGTGGTTAACAATCCTCCTGCCAGTGCAGGGGGTGGTTGTTTGAGCCCTGGTCCGGGAAGATCCCACGTGCCGCGGAGCAGCTGGGCCCGTGCACCACAGCTACTGAGTCTGTGCTCTAGAGCCTGCGAGCCACAACTACTGAGCTCGCATGCTACAACTACTGAAGCCCGCATGCCTAGAGCCCATGCTCCACAACAACAACAAGAGAAGCCACCGCAATGAGAAGCCCGCGCATCGCAACGAAGAGTGGCCCCCACTCGCTGCAACTAGAGAAAGCCCGAGCACAGCAACGAAGACCCAACAGCCATAAATAAATAAAATTTAAAAAAAAAACCCTGTAATGTTTTATTGTCTTAATGCTGATAAATCAGCATTGTAGTTAATTTTAATTAATGAATAATAAAGTTCAAGGTTAGAGTATAAAGTTAGCTATTACTTCTATTTCCAATTTGGCTGTAATATGGGTAGTTTTACCCTGCAGCCAAAAACAACCAAAAAAACTCCTAGATGAAATATATAAAATATCTTTTTAAAAGTACAAAGTGCTCCCCTCTTTGTCTTCTCTGCACTGGGGCCAGCTCTCCTGCCGTGGCCTCTCATCTGAAAACGTACGCTTGTGCCAAGTTCGTCTCCACCTCCTCCTTGATCACGAGAACCTCTGCACTACTGAGCTGATCACTGTCTACAGTGATGCTGAAACAGTAGGACACTGACAGATGAGAGCCACAGCAGCTTGGCAGCCCCGAGTCCCCTGACCACCTCACTTATTCCTAGCCACACCTTCCAAACCAGTGCCATTTCAAGGGACATTGACACGGAAACCAAATTCATTGGAGCTGGGGCTGCCACAGTAGGGGTGGCTGGCTCTGGGGCTGGAATTGGGACTGTGTTTGGTAGCCTCATCATTGGTTATGCCAGGAACCCTTCTCTGAAGCAGCAGCTCTTCTTCTGCACCATTCTGGGCTTCTGCACTCTCGGTAGCCATGGGGCTCTTTTGCCTGATGTTGGCCTTTCTCATCCTCTTCGCCATGTGAAGGAGCCGTCTCCACCTTCCATAGTTCTTTCTCTCGTGTCTCGTCTGCGCTGTATGTTCCTTTTCCTGTACCTCCCCATTTTTTTTTGGCTCAGTGTTTGACAGAGGGAAGACAAATGAATACTGTATTAATAAGAAAAAAAAAAAGTACAAAGTGCTGACAAAATAGGAAAGAATTATTAGGTTAAAATCTGTTGGCTAGCTGGAACCCAGAGATGTACACAGGGCATTAAGGCCATGTATCTCATAAGGCACATGTGGAATCAGGCAACTTTTTTCTTTAAATTTAAAAAAAAAAATTTATCTTTTATTTCTGTCAGAGTTAATAATGGTCCTGAATTTGTTTGTTTAGATTTATGTTATTTTCACTAACCCATGGCTTTTAAGTTTGAAGCTTGGGCAGCCGTATAGTTAGTATTTAAATATACAAGACACTATGCATTTTATGTTTATGGTGCCATTAAATTTTGCACCATCTCTGTGAAGTAGCTATTTATTAGCTCTGTTTTGCAGAGTAGAGATTAAGGACTCAGAGAGTTACTCATAGAGATTAAGTAACAGTCACACAGGTAGCAGTTGACAGACTCTGCATTGATTCTAGGTCTTTCTGGTTGTTCCCGCTATTCTGTACTACCTCAGGTAAAGCTGTGTGGCATTTTAGGGATGGAAAGAGCCCATCGTCTTTGTCTCCACCTTTCCTTGCTACTGTAGGTACCTGGGATGGTAGTGCTGTAAGTGCCATCTGATTGTTGTGTTACTCTTCCACTCCCACTCCTCCCCCCACCCCTCACCCCCACCTTGAGTACCGGTTTCCTAACTGGTCTTAAGTAATAAGAAGGGGAGATCCTGGTTTAAGACCGAATTTTGGTTTTTTACATCCTTATCCCTATCACTGGACTCGCCTTCCATTGCTGCCTGCCTCTTGACTCAAGACATCAGTAGACACATTCGAGGGCACACAGCAGCCTTCCAAGGAAAATGGCAAGGCCAGAATCGGGAGTGCTTTCTCCTGAAGCTGCAACCTGTCTCTTCAGAGCCCACTAGCACCTCTAAAGTGGGTCCAAATAATGCGGTGGAGCCATGTGCTTAGCCTTCCGATGAGAAATGCTATATAATTTATAGGTGTAAAGGTTTATTACTCTGTAATTTCATCAAGTTTTGCTAGAATGTTTAAATATCATTTTTAGGTTAAATGGTTAAATATCTCTTTAGGACCTGACATAGCAGTTTTCCTCTGTTGGTTGTGAGTTGCTTCCCTCAGATTTTCATAGAGCCACAGTCACAGGTCCTACACCAGAGAAACTTTTAGAGATCAGTTACATGGTCTATTACGGCCCAAAGCAAAAAATCACCTGAGGAGCTAGTCAAAACACACATTGTTGCCTCCGCCCTCCCTCTGCTGCTCATTCAGTTAGTTTGGGGTGGGGCCCAAGAATTTCTGTTTCTAGCAGGCTCCCAGGTGATGCTTTTGCTAATGGTATTGATCTGTGACCACAGTTTGAGTAACCTTTAAGCAAGTTGTCTCTAATCCCCACCTATAAATTAGGTACTGAAATTTAAAGAGGTGTGTGTGTGTGTGTGTGTGTGTGTGTGTGTGTGTGTGTGTGTGTAAGGTGAAATCAAATGGAGATTTAATATCTTTCTTTATAGAGTCATTACAGTTTATATTTTAGAAATACATTTCCTGTGTTATTTAGTTTCAACTGCATATACATCTAATTAGTTTGAATTGTCTATAAAAGGATTGCCTTGATTTATTTTCTGACTTTCATAATGAGATGTTTTAGCAGAGTTTAGAATAATTAATTGCATTTATGTAGGAATGACTGATGTTATTAGTGACTTTTTCTTCATTTTAGCTTGTTACAGCTTATCAGACTCTTCAGAGGGAGAAGAAAAAGCTACAAGTAAGTGATTTGTTGGCTGTTACATTGATTCATATATAATTTTAAAAATAGAAAGGATCTTTTAATAAGATAGTTCTAACACTCACTTTTAATAATTCTTCATATGACCAAAGTATTTCAGCTGTTTTACCATTGGGGATTTTGATAAAGAGAATGATTGAGAAATCTCAGATATTTAACCTCTGGTAGGGATGGGCTTCCTTGAGTTCTGGATCCCTGCAGTGTGTAAGAGGCTTGGATTTAAGGCATGTTTGCCTCTTTCAAGCATCATTCCTGGTGTGCCACTGTGCAGGGTGCATCTTTGTTTTAGTGATAAAGAGACGTACAACTTCGAAGCTTTCCCTTCTACTTTTTAAATACCTGCAGAGATCTCTGTTTCTTACTATATCAGGGTCCAAAAATAAGCATCCTCTCTATTTCCTGAGGCTGCTGCTTGTAAAGCCCTTGGTTAAGTGTGTGGAGATAAGAAGGTATTATAGCTCTTCTGGTGACTGAAGGCACTAATTATAGAACCAGGAAGTTATTTGTAAAGTGAGATTTGGTAAAATTAATTTCCCCGTGTACATTATTTTAAAATACCGAATCTGCCATAAATATTAGTCTCCTTTGAGTACGACATTAAATTTTCTGGCTTTGGTCTGGAATATAATCAACTGAGAATGATAACACCAGTTACTTATTGCTGATTCAGTGTTCTAATTGTCCATAACAAGTGTGAAAATTAGATTATTACAAATAAAGTTTTTAGTTTAATATTTTCTTAGACATGTGGTCTATAGAAATTGGGGGTAGTTCTCATTTAATCCATTGTACTATTAATATTCCATAAATTCATTCTCAAAAGGTCATTTTATTCCTAAATTCTGTGAGTACCTTGCTTGTGTTTCCATGAATTGTCTTATGGATTTTTATTTCGAGATTACATAATTCTACCACTAGGTGGCAGTAGAGAGTTTGGGTTGCATAGTTGCAAAAGTAAAGGGTGTTGGAAATAAAATTCAATGATTTGTGATCTTTTGAACTTGCTTTTCACTACTATGTCATGTGGTTGTTTGAACCAGCTTCTTTTTCCTTTTAAATTAAAGGGTATATTAAGTCAGAGTCAGGATAAAGCACTTCGGAGGATTGGAGAGTTAAGAGAGGTAAGTTGTGACTAGTACTTTGAGAAGAGTAACTAAATCTCTCATATTTATCAGAACTATTGTATGTATTTGGGTAGTTTCATATCTACTACATTAGTTACAGCGAAAATTAACCAGTCCAAGCTACAAGAACAGGGATCAATTCTTATAGTTTTTATTTGTGTGGTTTTCCTGACATCTGTTGGTGGAATTACAGGCAGACCTAGTTGTTGTTTTTTTTTAACATCTTTATTGGTGTATAATTGCTTTACAGTGTTGTGTTAGTTTCTGCTGTATAACAAAGTGAATCAGCTATATGCATACGTACATCCCCATATCTCCTCCCTCTTGCGTCTCCCTCCCACCCTCCCTATCCTACCCCTCTAAGTGGTCGCAAAGCACTGAGCTGATCTCCCTGTGCCATGCAACTGCTTCCCACTAGCTATCTATTTTACATTTACACATAGTGTATATATGTCTATGTTACTCTCTTACTTCATCCCAGCTTACCCTTCCCCCTCCTCGTGTCCTCAAGTCCATTCTCTACGTCTGTGTCTTTATTCCTGTCCTGCCCCTAGGTTCATCAGAATCATTTTTTTTTTTTAGATTCCATATGTATGTTAGCATACGGTATTTGTTTTTCTCTTTCTGACTTACTTCACTCTGTATGACAGACTCTAGGTCCATCCACCTCACTACAAATAACTCAATTTCGTTTCTTTTTATGGCTGAGTAGTATTCCATTGTATATATGTGTATGCCACATCTTCTTTATCCATTCATCTGTTGATGGACACTTAGGTTGCTTCCATGTCCTGGCTATTGTAAATAGTGCTGCAGTGAACATTGTGGTACCTGATTCTTTTTGAACTATGATTTTCTAAGGGTATATGCCCAGTAGTGGGATTGCTGGGTCATATGGTAGTTCTGTTTTTAGTTTTTTAAGGACCCTCCATACTGTCTTCCATAGTGGCTGTAGCAATTTACATTCCCACCAGCAGTGCAAGAGGGTTCCCTTTTCTTCACACCCTAGATTTGTTCTTAGTGACCCCAAGGGTCTAATCAGAACTTCCTGAAAGTGGAAGTTAACCCCAGATACTAGGGTCTAGTTCTGGAGCTAGTGAGATCTCTATCATGGTGGTGTTGGATAGCTGGCTAGCCAGCCTGTGGGCTGTAGTCAGGATATAAGTTGACAGTTCTTAAGTTCCTTTCTAACTGTGGTCTTTATTGTTTATGGAGTACTTATTGGTTGAATAGTCTAATGTAGCAGGAGGAGGGAGAAGGGGACATGATTAAAAGATGTTTCTGGGGAATTCCCTGGTGGTCTAGTGGTTAGGATTCAGTGCTCTCACTGCCATGGCCTGGGTTGAATTCCTGGTTGGGGAACTGAGGTCCTGCAAGTCGTGAGGCAAGGCCAAAAATAAAAGATGCTTTTGTTGTATCCAAGGACTTCTTACCCTAAGATGAGGAGATGAAAACGTTCAAAACCTGAAAATCATAATATAAATTGAGAAGTTTTTGTGGGCTGGTAGGGATGCCATGTAACAGAGTCTAGTATGGTAGAATGTAGAAAATTATTTGGAAGAAATGAATTGTAAAGAAAGTAAAGGACTGTATTGCTATTAAGGAGATGTGCAGCTGGTCCTTACTAAAGAATTGGCCTGTGCAGAGTCATGGGAGGGGGAACAGTGCTTTTCAGACTTTTGGATTTCAGGGACTGAGAAATTAATTACCTTCCAGTTCCTTCCAGAAATGGGGGAAAGGAGACTTGTCATAAGGCTACTTTTATTTTTTTCAAGTGAGGACATTGAGAATAAGGAACCAGATTCTTTTATTGTCATTATTTCATACAAGAAAGTTTTTTTTTTAATAATAAAAAAAAGTTAGGAAGGACACAGTCTCAGAATAAAGTACAGTTGTTCAGATGAAAGAAATTTGGATCTAAGAAAAACATGTCTTGATCTGAAGACCAGCATTTGGAGACTCCTACTGCTGGGGGAGGTCAAGCCAGGAGTCTGTAGTGAGAGGAATAGTAAATGTGCTGAGATCTTGGGGCCATGTGGGTGTGGGGAAGAGTAGAGGACAGTTAGTACCTCAGTGTTTTGAGAATTAGTAAGTTTGAAACAATTCAAGAAGGCATTGCTTATAAGTCCTTGAAAGTAGTGTTTGAGGAAAGTTTTCTAGCAAATGTGTGAGGGATGGATTAAATCAGAGGTAGACTTGAGGTAAGAATTCTCTCTAGAAGGCTACTAAAGGAAATTAATCATCAAAATTATTAGAGATTGGGATTATGGTTTTGGATGTGGAAAAAGGGCCTAAACATTGTAGAGAAAGTAATGAAAGAATTTGGTTATATGCAGAGGTCAACAAAAGATAAGTAAAATGTGACTTTGAATATTTTGGGCTTAGAGAATTAGAAAAGTAGGAATCCCAGAAAAATTGTGGGGTTTTGATGGGATATCCACTATGTTCCAGGTGTTATTCTGCAACATTCTAATGGAGCAAGTGTAAGGGAGAAGCCCTGAGGACACAGAACTGAGTGCAGAGGGATAATTGCTGAGAGAATCAGTGCAGGGCACGGTGGAAACTCTGAGAGACAGGAATATAGGTAGGAGCCCTGAAGCCGCAGAAAGCAGGTACCTCAGTTGAGGAGATGATTATTAGTGACTGGTTATAGTGGAGAGGTAAAGACCATTGGATTTAGTTAGGGAGGCTCATTAATGACTTAAGGAAAGCAGCATGTAAGGAAGTTGAAATTTCACTGTTTGGTGATCAACTAGGTCAACCTTTTCATTTGAGGAGGCCTCTGATTTTGACTGTTGATCACTTTCATGTATTGGGAGGAGGAAGGTTCTACTGATTATCTATGTAGTATATAACAATTCAGTTTTAGATCAAGTGAATATAAGATAGCACAAACAGTAAGATGTCTTAAAGTAGGATAAAATTTTACCTTTATCTTAAGTAACTAATTTTTTTAATCCTCTTTACATAATTATCAATTCAGCAGTGATTACAGATCTATAAGTATACTTTTGCTTCTTGGATTTTCATATTCTTTAAGGAACAGAATTATTTGTTGGGGTAAGTACTAATGTTTTAAATGTTGATTATTCTTTAATGTTGCTGATAACTTAATAGTAATGCAAATCTGGATTGATAAGTTTTTAAACTTTGAAAATTTCAGGTTTGTATTTTTTGTTATATACTGAAAACTGCTTATGAATCCTTTACATTTTAGGAGCTCCAAATGGACCAGCAAGCAAAAAAACATCTCCAAGAGGAGTTCGATGCATCTTTAGAGGAAAAAGATCAGTATATCAGTGTCCTTCAGACTCAGGTAAAAAAAGAAGTGTGGAATTTTTGGATAAAGAAAAATAAAAGGGTTTTGATGGGATATCTGATAGGTTCCAGATGTTTAAAAAATGGACTTTTAAAAAAATTTATTTGGCTGCATCGAGTCTTAGTTGCGGCGTGCGGGATCTTCATTGCAGCACACAGGATCTTTCGTTGTGACGTGCGAGCTTCTCTCTAGTTGGGCTCGTTGGCTCCAGAGCTTGTGGGCTTAGTTGCCCTGCGGCATGTGGGATCTTAGTTCCCTTACCAGGGATCGAACCCGCATCCCCTGCATTAGAAGGCAGATTCTTAACCACTGGACCACCAGGGAAGTCATAAATGGCCGATTTTTAAAACTCTTTGCTTTTCCTCAATTAATTTTAAGGATAATTTTTGATTTATTGTATTTTCTGGCTAAGGTATCATTGAAAATAGCAAATATCAAAATCAGCAGCATTGGGAGTAAATTTTTTATTTTGATTTCCCCCCCTCCCCCATTATAGCAAAAAGGGTATCTTTTACTCTATTCCTTCTCTGTTTCAAGGAAAGCACTACTGCCAAAGTTTCTCTTGGTTTTTTCCTAATGAAGGACATTTTTTTTTTAGGTGTCTTTGCTGAAACAGCGGTTACGAAATGGCCCGATGAATGCTGATTTACCAAAACCACTCTCGCAGATGGAACCAGAGGCTGAAGGCGTCACTAAAGAGAACACAGATGGTGATGTAGAGCCAGTAGGTAAGCTTCAGCTTGTCAGAAGGTAGGTTAAAAACTAGAGGAGGATGGTGAGAGATTCTAGGGCAGGAAGTAGTAGACATGGACTGAGGTAGAACTAAAATGTCCCTGACCCTAATATTTCCAGAAAGATTCAACTGAGTCAATTTTAAAGATCTTATTGACTTAATTAGACCATTCATGAATCAGGCAGTACCCCTTCTAGCAGATAGAAAAGAGCTCCTGGGAGCTGTACAAAATGCAAGACTTTCATAAGCAGAAGGGAGTGGGACAAGGAAGTTATAGTAGCAAAAAGTAGATTGGTTGTGACAAGGTCCCTTTCCTTTAGGGGATTCAGGGGTCTGTCAGGCATGTGACCTCCCTAGTGTTGACCAGGTGATTCCTGATGCACTGGTTTCAGATTCCATTTCTGGGAGAGGCTGAAACTGTAATTAAGTCTCTGTTTGGTGATGCGAGGCTTAGCTTAAGCCTCCATTTTGGACCTGTTTTTAGCAGATGCAAGAGTTTTGATGTTTTTTTGGGCTCTTTGTTTATTGTTTTCCAGGAGAAAGTAATTGTTTTGACACTTGAAAGTTTGTGAGTAGCACCACATTTTCATTGTAATTGAAATTCATTATATTATACTGTTTTACTGATAGCAGTAGCTAGATTTCATAGAAAAACATTAAGTCTGTTCAAGATTAAGGACTATGCTCTTTGTCATTATTTGTCTCTTTTAGTTTTTAAGTATTATTGCTTACGTATTTCTACAATCAAAGATGCCAATATTTGCCCTATTATTTGCTTTGTAATTGTAAAAGAAGGAATAATTACATTATGTTTTAAAATCCAATTGTAGCCCTCCCTACTCTTTGAGGCTTTATGGTACCTATTTAGTAAACTTCCCATTTTTTATTTACTAGCTTTATCACAAAGAGATTTGTGATAAACTTTTGGTCCAGCCAGTGCTGGAGTAAGGTGCTGAGCAGCCATTTATCTGAACAACCAACCTGTAAGGGCTCCTGAAACACCCCTGGGCTATGTCATAAATGTAAGGAGATGGAGAAAGCTGTACTTGCCAGAACTCCTCTCTGGATGAGATTAGAATGCTTTGGAAGGAATACATTAGTGATCCTTTGGGGATTGGCGCTAAGAAATGGGAGGCACTTGTAAAGAGCAAAAGAGGTCATCAAACTGTCTTTGAAGGAGGGTGGATTCAGTTAACATTAGTTAACTCTTGAGTGCTGTGTGCCATTTGGGTTGGGGTTGAACCACAGAAGAAGAGGTGAATGTACTACGTAGCTTCTTCAGCTGCAGATCACACAAATAGTGGCAGAGTAGAGGTTTGGAAGGGCACCCCTCTCTTCTCAGTCTGGCTCAGAGTATAACAGAGTGTTGGAATGAGAATACAGTCCTGTGCACTAACAGAGTAGCTGTTCCCAGGGAGCCCTTAGATTCCTCACTGACTGCCCCTGCTTATGCTGCTTTATTAATAGTGGGAGATGGAGCTTCTGCTAAAACACTGGAAATACTTCAGCAAAGGGTTAAGCGTCAAGAGAATCTACTGCAGCGCTGTAAGGAAACCATTCGGTCGCATAAGGAACAATGTGTGCTGTTAACCAGTGAAAAAGAAGCCCTGCAAGAACAACTAGATGAAAGACTTCAAGAACTAGAAAAGATGAAGGTAAAAGAGAAAATGATTGTGGTTTAACGCAACCCTGTGATGCTAGATCCACAGGCCCCAGCGTGGCCTGCACTTCCTTTGGAAAGCCTTCCCCGTTCCTCTGTAGACAGCATGGAAAGGGCCCCTCAGTGCCCTGGGCTTCATAGCATTTACCATCCTTTTGACACATCCTGTGTTCTCTTCTCCTATTAGACTTGTAGGAGTATTCAAATTAGAGAAAATGTTTAGAGTTCTCATATGAGGAGAAGCTTTATTAGAGATGGAAATGAATTTTTAAAATTTTTTTAGGAGCTTCATATGGCTGAGAAGACTAAACTTATCACTCAGTTGCGTGATGCAAAGAACTTAATTGAACAGCTTGAACAAGATAAGGTAAAACAACAAAACTTATGATACTAAAATTTGTCAAGGGGCACCCCAGTTCATTTTTGGAAGCAATTGGAAGCATGCAGACTTCTGCTTTCCAAAATTATTACAGCTGCTTCCATGAAAAATCTTTTTGTTTTAACTTCTAGATTTATATAACCATTAGCATTAGTTTTGTATCATGTGAAGCTGAATCTGTGATTTCTTGATCCCAGTCAGCATTTTGATTTATAGATTAGAATACTGTTGCAAAAGAAATTTGTTTACAGAACATAACTACTTTTTAGAGAAAAGTTAAATTATTTACAGTTAAGGCATTACTAAATGTGAATGATATAAGTATTGTCTTTCAGATATAATGGAAACAGATTAATCTCACAGATAAATTGCCTAAAAAGTAAAGAAATGATAATGTATATGTTAGCGTAAACAGAAATTTCTTCAAATAAACTTTAGAATGTATAGGTGAGATTGGCAGTTTAGCGTTGGAACAGCAACTTTAGCTACGGCAGCAAAGACAGCTAAAAAATTCATGGGCAAAACAGTTTTGACCAAAGCCTTTCAGCACCGGGTTCTTGGGTCCTTTTTTTAAAAGTAGCTTCCAGTTAGTTCCACATCATCCACCGTGTTCTTTAATATGGTACTTTATAGCTGCAGTATTTTAAGTGGCCATGTAATTAAGAACATGTTAGAGCTGTTCTGCTATTGAAATGTATTGGCAATTTTTTCATCCTATTCATTTTGCTGGATTCTATTCCATAAACTTCATGAAGGCCCTCTTTAAAAAAAAAAACCAAAAAAACTTTTTATTATGAAAAACTTAAAACATTTACAAAAGTATAAAGATTAATAAAAGGAATTCCTGTGAACCCATCACCCAACTTCAACAGTTAACATCTCCTGGCTAATTTTGTTTCATCTGTACATTCCCAGCCCCCAGTACCCTCATCCCAGGATTGTTTTAGAGCAAATCTAAGAAATCTTATTTCTTCCATAAGTATTTTAATGGATATTTAAAATAAAGGTCTTTTTTTAATAAAAATATAACCACATTATCATGATCACATCTAAAAATTTAATAGCAATTCCTTAGTACAGTCAACTACCTAGACAGTTTCAGATTTTCCCTTTTGTCCCATACATTTCTTTTCCATTTTTATGAATCAGGATCCAAATGAGGTTCTTTCATTACAGTCGGTTGATGTGACTCTTAAGACTTCTTTTAATCTATAGATTCCACCTCTCTCTCTCTCTCTCTCTCTCTCTCTCTTTTCCATTGTGCTTTGGTTTTTGAAGAAACTGAAGGCCCACAATTTTCTTTTGGAATTTTGTATAATAATGCCCCACTTACCTGGTTTTTAATCTGTTCATTAATATTAGCCATCTGGAAGAGTCATACCCTAAAGCAAGGGTTGACAAACCCTGGAAGTAAGGTAATACTCTGCTTAATATCATAAAATAGCTGTCACAGAGTCTTATGTTTCAAGAGACAAGTTGAACCACCCATTTTTTGTTAGTTGCAGATGACTGATTTAATATATACTATTTGATTATATTTTCCCCCTAGCGACCTTCATTTCTTGTGTAGATTATCCAGAGAGTGGGAAGACAGTAGCAATTAGCAAATTGGAGGAATGCCTCACTGACAGTAATAAGGAGTGGTGTTGGGACCAGAGACTGTCACAAGAGGAAAGAGAAAAACCAGGTAGCTCTGTACCGCAGTCTTGGTCCATCCAGTGTGGCAGCAGTAACCTTATACTCTCAGCAGCCTCTGGGACTTTCCCCATGTTACACAGCGCAGTTCAATAATAGTAGTTCATGATTGGTTCTGAGCCAAGTACTAAAGGTCATATTTTGTTGAATATAAACTGTATACTAAGATAGGGAAAATTATAGTAAACATTTATAGAAAGATTATAAAATAAATCTTTTAACTAAAATGTGTTGTTAATAATTAAAATATTAAAGTTATTATTAAAATAATTTTTTATATTAAGAATACCCTGATATGCCAGGTAACTGAAGTTATTGTAGTATATAATGTAGTATATACACAGGATACAGACTGAATACTAAATAAACTAAATACTAAATACTAAAGTAATTCGTATGCTGTACTTAGTAAGAGACATTATGTTTTCTGCCCTTTAAAGTAAGTTTGATATGTGCTATTGATAATGCAGTTTTGTTACGCAAACGCTTTAGAGTCTGCACTTCTGTTTAGGGGATGGTAATAGCAGAGACAAAACGTCAGATGCATGAAACCCTGGAAATCAAAGAAGAAGAAATTGCCCAACTTCGTAGTCACATCAAGCAGATGACTAGCCAGGGAGAGGAATTACGGGAACAGAAAGAAAAATCTGAAAGAGCTGGTAAGAACTCAGGGGTTACTTGTTTTATGTTAGAAATCAAAAATCATGTAAAGTGCTTGACCAGCCAACATTTAGAAAAATTAGTTAAATATGGATAAAAATGTTTAACTGTAGAGACTCTTTATAAAGACACTGTGGACTGTTCCTCGGAAGAGGCAGGGGTTGGTAAATTATGGCCTATGGGTAAAATGCAGCCCATGCCTGGCCTGTTTATGTATAGCCCTGCAAAGCCTGAAGTATTTATTATCTGGCCTCTTATAGAAAATGTTTGCTGACCACTGCCTTAGACTATCAAAATTCAGGTTTACAACTTTGAAACTCCCCAAGTAGGCACAGCATGGTACATATTAAATAACTGCTACCATTTGGATGCTCTAGGGTAAATAAAAAGTATAAGATGTAGTCTGCTTTTTAAGAGACTGATGGAATAATTCAGTGTTATACATAACTGCATTATGTTTTGACCCAATAAATGCTAGACTGTAAAGTGTAGAGACCAGTATTCAGCAAGGTATGATACTGAATAATGCTCGGAAAGAAAGTAGAGATACTAGAAAGAGGAGAGAGCAGGGTGAACTGGTGCCTTCAGGTTAGTGAGGATGTGAGTTGACTTGGGCCTCAGATAATGAATAGAATGGGCCTAAACAGAGAGATGGGGGCAGCACATATTTCACATTTAAGATCATAAACGGGCCCAGTGACCATAGAGGGGGTGTGTGTCAACTGGAAACCATTCTTGCTGAAGTGGGAAATGAAGTTGGATTGTGAAGGAACTGACTGTTAAAGTCTGTAAAAGTGAGTAGCTGAGTTTAGACTTTGGTAAACAAGGAAACCAGTAATAGGAAAGCATAATGTGATGGAAACCAGTGTTGTAGGTAGAAACGAAATGAAGTGGAAAGTCAAACTTAAAAGCAAGGGTAGAAGTCCAGGCTTTGGGAACTGAGAGCTTTGGCCACCTTGACTAGGATGGTGGGTCTGGGAAGGAGAGGAAGAGTCAAATTTGCAGAATTTGGTATCCAGTTAACTTGGAGGGGCAGAAGAAAAGTAGGAGTCCAAGATGACGCCAGAGTTTTAAGGTTAGGAGGCCGAATGAATCAGGTGAAGTCAGAATGGGAAGTCTAAATGGGGACACTGAGGAATAGAATGAAATGGTGAATTTGCTTAGATTCTTTGAATTTGGGCCTATCATGAGGTTTCCAGATGGAATTGACCTGTAGGAATTTGGAAATAAAAAATCGGAGCATCTTTTAGGAGTCGTTAGCCTAAGGTTGAAGCCTATGGTTCGATCTGTAGAAGAGGCTGATTTCTCTGAAAGATTGTTTTACTGGTAGTGGAAGCGGTGGTAGCCTTAGCGGCTGCTGCTGCTAATAGCCAGACTTACTTTATGCAAGGCTCTGTCATCAGTGCTTTGCTCGTATTCACTTGTGTATGTATTTGTATTTAATCCTCAAAATTTCTGTGACTTGGGTATTACTATTATCCTCATTTCACAAATAAGAAAGGAGACAAGAAAACCTAGGAACATAGAAGTTAAGTAACTTGCTTACATTCACCCACAGAGAGTAAATGTATAGTCAGGATTTGAATCCGGGCATTTTGAGTCCAGAGCCTATGCTCTTAACACAGAGATATTGAGTTTGGCAAAGAGACATAAATGAAAACAGAAAAAGTAACCTGAGAAGTCATAGGAATTGCGGATACTTATGCTTCTGGGGGAATATAGGAGGCATTTCCAAAAGTGGGGGAGGTAGGATGAAGATTTTTTTAAATGTCTTTTAATTTGCATGAGGATTTGATTCCCAGGATGCAGTTTCAGAAGTTATTTTAGAAACCAGATTGTAAGGTTTAAGGAAAGGAATGGGTCTGGATGAGAGAGGCAGTTGGTTGTGCTCGTAAATATCTCCTCATCTCCTTATAGTTGTTTTATTGACAAGTGGCTGGGAAATTTAGAAATGTGCTCCCCAAAAGCCTAAGATTTCCCTTCAGAGAGCATTAATGGGTAGAATCTCTCAGATTATAATCTCTAAAGACTTTGCTGAAGCAGCTGGAGACTCGTGAGATGCTGTTAAACAGGTTTGCTTTCCGTGAGCAGAAAACCTAATGCAAAGTCTCAGCTTCTCATGTCAAGCCTTTTCATTTTTAAGACTGCTTTTGTTGACTCTTGTAGCCAGCTGAGAGAAAATAATGCCGGTCAGGGATTACATTTCCTTTTAAAATTGAGATGCATCTTGTGAGGAGGTAGAAACCCATGAATAACAAGTAAAAAGGGGCACATGATGAAAAGGCAGACAAAATATACAGTTAATTCATATGTAGGATAAAAATTTCCCAGGCTGCTGTTCCAGTCAACTCTTTTGTAATACAGCCTTCCTTCTCTTGCTTCTCCAAGCACAGATGTATTTTGTCTTTATTTATTTATTTCTACAATTGAGGTATAGTTGATGTACAATATTACGTAAGTTTCAGCTGTACCACATAGTGATTCACAATTTTTAAAGGTTATACTCCATTTATAGTTATTACAAAACATTGGCTGTATTTCTTGTGCTGTACAATATATCTTTGTACCATATTTATTTTATGCGTGGTAGATTGTACCTCTTATGTATTTTGTCTTTAAATGTGATTTTTATAAAACTATATTTTTGTAATATTTCATAGCCTATAAGTTGAGAAACTTATCTGTTAATACTGTCAAAATATTTAAAGTTAATAAATACTTAAAGAGAATTAAGATTTACAGTTATTTAATAGATATATTTATTTTGGAAAGTCTTTGGATAACACAGTTACGAGTGCTTTTATAGATATTTTCAAAATTATATTTGTAGTCATAATTATTGAGGTTTATGATAGAAAGTTGTAACAGACTGATTCCATATTGAAGATGTTGCCCTTTAAATCTATAATGAAAGTTAGTTTTGTGCATCAACTGAATTTCATCTAATGGCTTTAGTTGAGTCTGAACAGAATTGTTCTAATGTAATGTGATTCTTAGTTCAAATATAAAATGCATTTGCCAATTGACAGAAAAGTCCCAATTTGGTACTAAAAGTGAGAAAAGGTCTTTGTAAAGGAAATAGAGTTTTCATAAATTTTTATAAACATCATTTGGCTCTTGGAGAATTCAACTGCTCTGTTAAATGTTTCTTTCTTAGATTTAAAATTCAAAGGCTAAAAAACACGTAAGAGCTGGCCATGTGAAGGAAACACTAACATTAAAGTTTGTGGTTGTTAAGGTTTTTAGAAGTAAATGTGTCTACATAAAATAATTATCAAAGGATCTGAACTCTCCTAATGCATTTTTGATTGTAAAAAATTTAACTCATATATTTAGCAGTTCTTGACATGTGGATATTAGTAGACAAATGGCTACTTTTGGGGGCTCACTTATTCTGGAGATCAAAATGTGGCTCAAATACATTCCTCACTACTTTTCTTAGAAAACAGTCTATTTTACTGCTTCTCATAGTTTTTCTAGACAAACTGTGATGATTCTCTTATGTTGGAGGACAAAGGAAATCTGAGTGTCTCTGATTTTAAAAAGAATAATACTGTCATAAAATACCAAGACTATGGGAATATGGTAACCTGCCTACTTGATGCTGTATCAGCTTGTAGTACTTATTCTGCTCTACAGTGGAACTGGTAGGCATGTTTTCTGAAGTACAATACTATAGCACTTTTGTTAAAATTATTTCAGTGAATAAAGAAAACCAAAAATAAATATATTTGTTACAAGCATTTTACTACAACTGTTGATAGTATTCCTTTCTAGGTGTTACTTAAAAACAGATGGTCATATCTTCAAGTAACCAGATTTTAAATTTGGAGAATTCTGGTGATTCAGCTTAAGTATGTGATGGTACTTTTTTAGGTACTAGGTACTATTACTAATTGTCTAGAATATTACCTCTTCAATGCAGCACCGGTGCAGAATGTTAATGCTGCTAAAGTTCACGCTAGATCTTGGGTATTCTTTGTGTGCATGTGTGTGTATGTTTTACCTAGGATAGGAGGTAGAGTAGCCGGCTAATCATTAATGTAGTGTATTACCCAAAAATTGGAAAATAGAGAAAATGAAAGCACGTTGCTGTTGTTTCAATACACTTCCAGTTTTTTCTCAATCCTTATTTTATACGATTGTAATCATAATTGTCCATATAATTTTGTATGCTCCTTTTTCTTTATTTAGCATTATATTAGGAGTAGTTTTACATGTTGCTAAAGTACTAACATTTTAATGGCTTTGTCAGAATGCATGTACATCATTAACCATCTCCCTGTTGATCAGCACCTAGATTATTTTCTACTTTCACTATTCTGAATAATACTGTAACAACTTTGTAATACAGCTTATTCCATCCTTGAATTTTTTCTCTGGATAAAGTCTTCCCCATAGACTTTTAGTCTTTTTTGTTAATTACCTTTAAGAGATTTAAATATAGCCATTACAAAAAAGAACCCATATCATAGTATTAACACCCCGTCCTTAAAATGTTCTTGCCTACAACTGTGCAAAATGCATAAAATATTCTGCTCAGATTAGGAAAGTTTCCAGAGCACACTGACTTTTGTAAAACCTGTTTCCATTTCATGTACCCTGTTTTGCTGAAGTTCTGTGTTTTATGATTGTCTGCATTTTAAAATGTAGAGTAACTCACAACATTCTTTGCTTTTTTATTGTCATGTTGTGTTTGTGCAGGAAATAAGTTTCTTTTTCATTTGTATAGTATAAACCTGATATACCAAAGACATTCAGTGGAACATTTATTTGAAGGACCCTTTAAGATAGAGTTTATTTTTAAATAATGTATAAGATTTATGCATATTTGTATAACACACAAAAATCACATGTGTATTTAAGTGCTTTGTTAGTTGTTGATAATTTATGTAACAAGAGTTTTCTTGGAGTCTTAAGTCTCACAAAACATCTTATTTTTGTGCATCCACACATGCCAATAAGTGAATCATGGTGCCTTTCCCAAGCCTTGTATGAA